ACTAAAATTCGATTTGAGTTAAGTAAAAGTATAATATTGTAAATTGCACAACTAAATGTTATTGGATTACACAACTATGGAGTTATTTCAACTACAAAAAAACTCAAACATAATTTTTTTTTTAATAAAGAAAAGAGCCTCGATAGCGTGACCATTGGCTTGTTTTTTACAAGATAATATGTTCTGAAACATTATTATTAATTTTACAGCTGTGGAAAAAATAGCATGACATAAAATAATAATAAACAATATCGTAGACAATCGCGATATAATTAAAGGTATAATTCCCCCCCCCCCCCATATTCCAGAAATGTCAACCATTTATTAGTTAACTGTTAAAAGGGCGCTATACCAGTGCACCCGCATGTGCAATTGTTTGCCATGTGTCTAACAAATACAAAACACAGCAAAAACTGTTTTTCGCTGGTAAGAACTTCTCGGGCTGTGGTCCAAGATAAGCAATCACAATTTCACACTATAAAGATGAAAACGTTGACTGTTCTATATTGTTTTTAATTTTTCAATATTAAAAGTATAAAAAAAGTTCTTATTGTTTAAAAATGCATTATTTTTTAGTTTTTAAAACTTCAATAACGTTTTTTTTAGTTGAGTTTTGATATTGAAAAAATAAAAACAGCGTTGCACAGTAAATCTTCTCTTCTTTATGGTGTGAACATTTGGTTGCTTAGTTTGGACTGAATGGTTCTTACTTGCGAAAAACAGTTTTTGGTATGTTTTGCATTTACAAGACGGAGACAACTTACACATGCGGGTGTAGTGTCTTCGGCGGTACCCGTTTTCACCAAAAGTGTACCTTTCCCTTTTCCACCAATACTCGTTTCCACCAAGACAAGTTATATACTACGCTTATATTCTACGCTTATGATTTCAACCTTTATTCGACATTAATATTCTATATAGGTTTCAAGCTCTGGCTTTTGAACCAACCAAAAAAAAGTTATCAACATTTATAGAATCAAAATTTAGATAAAATTTAAAATGTATGTTTAAATATCTCAAGGCCAGTCAAAATATTCAAAATATATCACGTATAGAAAATATTAATACAAAAATTTGGTGAAAATACAAGTATCCAGGGTTATTCGCTATTGAATACAAGTACAAAAGAAGATCTTTTCATGAGAAATCGTTAGCTATTGGATGTTCCAATATTAAATAAATACCTTTAAACGGTTATGAAAAATTAGTTTAACTTTCCGGCAAACTTAATTTTTTGTAGAAAAACTCATGACAAATCTATTACATTTTTAAATCGTAGACATGAAAAAAATTGTGAGTGGTGTAATACTGCAATAGTACATTTTTAATGCTATTAGAGTCTCTATACTGTCAAAACGTTGTGTACCATATTTAACGTAATGTTAGTTCCGTATGAGATATGAAAAATTTAAAAATTGTATTTAGTTGTGTAACACCAACTGGTTCTAACATGGTTATGCATCATTTTAGTCTTATTATCGTATTAGTGCGACATCTATTGTTCGGAATCTTTACTAATTTCTTTAGAATCCAAATTGCAACATTATGAGAGAGTGAGAGACATTAAATTACTATCGAGTGAGCTATCTAGTGTATGTTTAATCGTTGGCAATAGCAACATTATTATAAACATACATTTTTAATATAATTTAGTTTAATTTTGCAGGTGAGATGGCGCTACTGTTGCATTTTTCTAACCACATTTCTTACTTTTCTGGGTGAATTTTCCTGAAATGTTTTTTTATATTAATTCGGCCCTAACAATTATTACGAACACAGCAAAAATAAAAATCAGTGAAATCGGTCAAGCCGTTTCGGAGTTTATTTAGAAAAAAACAGAGGCTTCATTTTATATATAATATACATCATACATGTATGCCTATTCTTGCAGCAGCAGTGTTGAACTGGAAAAATCCATATGAATAGTGCTCTAATTACTTACTATGATGCACCTTTTTTGCAATTTTATTATCATCTGTGATGAAATTCACCCAAAATTAATGAGGATACACTTATCCTCTGGACAACATTCTTTTTTTCTTATTTTTTCTAAATCACGAACATTCGTAAATTATCTTTAGTTAAGAATTCAAAATATTTGTGTTTTTTCTGTATAGATTTAAAAATGTAATAATTTCGTCATATGTTTACCGCCCTATGTTGGTAAGCAAAATTATTTTTCAATGAACGTTTGAAATTATTGTGTAGGACCTGGTACTTTATGACTTGTGATTTTTTCATCCGTAATCTAACGATTTCTCGTGAAACTATTTTCTTATTTTATAATAGTTCAATAACGAATAGGTAACCCTAGTTACTTATATTTTCACCGAATGTTCACGTAAACGCCATTTTGTACACTTTATAATATTTTGAACAGTTGGACTTGTTTTGAGCAATTTGATATGGTACTCCTGACGGGTAAGATACCGTCTCGTAATAATTAAACGTCCTTTGATGTTTTTATGAAACAGTTATTTGTTTATTTCCATAATTGATTAAAATATATACAAAAAAACTCTGGTGAAGAATCGCCTATTCATCCGAGTTGGGTCCCGAATTAAAAAATGCCATATACTAGTTGGGTCCGGGATTTTTGCAGGTACTACACGTCGGGTCACTTTTATATTCATTTGTTAGCTTTAAATTTTGAATTTTCGCCACCAGCTCTGTCCTAAATGGATTCTACATCCTTTGATATTTGTTTCCAGCTACACTGATAAAATCGAATAATGAATAGCTTCCTCAAAGTTTACATAAATTGCTTGAGGTAAATATTTAATTTTAAGTTTGTCGCATTTATTACATAACATCCGAAAAGTTTGAGTTTTTAAGTTTTTATGTTTATTTAGAAGCATTAAGCCAAAAATATGTGTAATGTAGTGATTATTAGGTATGTATTGTTTGTATTGTAAACATTTGCATATATATTTTTGAGCAACTTTTAAATATGCCATCTACGCATAATGTGTTGTTGTGTCATAGAAAATTGTAATTTTAAACTCTAATAAAAAATAACTATGTTATATTATATTGATCATCATTAATTAATATAAAATCTTCTCCTATCTATAGGTTTTTATTTTTAATTCGTTCAATATTGTGTGAAGGAAATACAGGACAATACCAAAAAATGCATAACCAAAAATATAGATAGTCAATGTCAATGTCAATATTTTTCATTTGGATTGTATATTTACTTAAGATAATCCCGGACCCAACTAGTGGAGTACCCTCAATTTAACCCTGGTAATCGGGACCCAACTCGGATGCGCCGGCCTATCAGACGATCCCGTGTTAAGCAGGACGTTCTATTACAAACTGGGAATGATTTTAAAAAACACACATATTCGTGCAAAAAATTAAATACCATTGTTAGGCAGCACGACGACGCGGACTGCTAACTCACTTCTCCACATTCATTAATTGTCATATACCAACTCCTGTGTGCATCATGAACTCATTAGCATGTTATTCTCATTATCCGAACTATTATTATTGTTATTCTTATACTTTTCATATTTATTGTCTTTATTTGACGAGATTGCATTATTATTATCACAACATGTTTAATCGTTACATTGAATCTCTGTGCTCTTTGGGTTTGTTTTTGTTGTGTGGCCATATTATTATTATAATTATTGTCGTTACTTTTTTTTTCTCTTCCGCTATTGTCTTTTCTTTTACTTATTATTTTTTATTGGTCTATACTCTATATGTGCCAGTGAGCGTCCTGATTTTAGGTCTCGTAAGGGAGACCGTGGTGGAAACCGGCACGTTGGTTGGTGGGGAGGGAGGAGATCAAGTAGACTGGTTGCCCTGAAAACAAATTTATATATTACTATTTTATTTACTGTCTAGTGTGTTAGATTTTAAAAATTACTTATAAGTTATACCCTATACTGCTTAATTAAGAAATATCAATGAGTAATTTTTAATTTTTTATACTACTAATTTTAATTTTTAAGTACTACAAAATTTAAATGTATAATAATTATTAATTTGTAATGCATTGTAACAAATAAGAAAATGTATGATAGGTATACTGTGTCACTATAGGGTATCCTGCTAGATAGGCGGCCATCCGCTAAGTATTTTTCTAAATAAAAGTTGTTCTCACTCATTTTGAATTTTATTTAGTTTTTTTTTATAAGTTTGGATATCAGTATTACGTTAGTTTAAAAATCCAGGGCTTGAAACCGAAATTATTATAAAAACAACAAAAAGAATATTTAAAAAAATCAATACCTTTAATCACAATCGAAATTGAAATCGGAAATCAAAAACAAATACTCAAAACCATAAACGAAATAGGAAAAAATAAATACCGATATTTAAAATAGAAATCAAAATCAGAAAAAATAAATACCGATGACCAATGTTACTCTGATTTGTATAACTGTTATATTATACCCCTTTTGTTTCGAGAAATATTTAGTGCTCTTTAGTTAGATCTTAATTAGAAGTTTCTGTACTTATTTGGTCCCCAATCACCTTTATTCAAACCCTTGAATCCATAAAAAAATATTTTCACGATTTCTTTTTTAAATGTAGAGTATGTAGACCATCTCATTCTGGTTATAATGGGATTTTACGATTTTTTTATAAGACTACTCTAAAAAGTTGTAGAAAGATAAACTTTCAAGTTAAATTACTTATAGTGATATAGATGTGGTCCTTTACTAGAAAACCTTCATTTTAAAATCAATATTGCTAAGACTAAAAACAATCATTTATTTTTTATAAAAACCAATTATTTATTTATTTATTAGATTCACCTACAAATATATTCATGTCAATTGGTAATAAATATATAAATTATAAATTAATTTCAATTGAAAATTTTATTTTTTTATTTTGTCCATCACAAACTTAATATTTGACAGTGAAAACCCTTTTTTTTACACTCACTGTAGTCTGTAAGGAAGTTTCACATAATTTAAATATCTTTATCTTAATCTTAATAAAATTTTCAATTTTTTATAGCTAAGTATTGAAAATTTAAAACATAAGCATTCACATAAGTAGTTCATATTACTTGCTTTTCGGTAGTTCGACTATGGTATTTATTTATTTTTATCACCTGAGTAAATATTTAGTTTGCAAATTAAATATGCTGCAGTGGCTTCTAGGTATTCTAAACCGATGTATCGACGTTGTTTAACGTCACCTAATGCAGTAGGTTGAGTAAGTTTTTGCCAAAAAAATTCACTAAAAATGTTATTGAGTGTGTATAAAATATAACAATATTATTGAATGTTGCAAGTACCTATATGGGTAGTTACAGCTTCGAATGATATTTTTTAATTACAACCATTTAACTAGAATCGATATTCTTCTTTTAACGGTCTAATTTCTGAAAAAAAAAACGTAAAATGGGTATTTAATATATACCCAACTAATAAGACATATATTATCTCGAAGCAATTTTTTTTTATTTGTCTTTAACTTTGGGTTATCGCAGTGTTTCTGGGTTCTGGCACACGGTGTCTTTATGCAGTGTGCGTGAGCGGCGTTAGTGATGTACTTATTTATGTAGCATGGCATGCCGCCAAGCCGAATCGAATGTACCCAATTTTTAATTCTTTTTATATGATAAATTAGATGATTTCAAATAAATTTGAAAAAAGTAATGACATCTTAAATATATATGTACACTGTGTCGCATTATCGCGTGACCTCGAACTTGAAAAGAAAATAAGTCCTACATTGTACAAAGTTATAAGCAGCAAGATAAAATCTTGTCTTCTTGACTGTCAGATCCTTCGGTAGGCACCCGACGAGACGAACGTTGTTTGAAGTAATAATAATTTGATAATTTGATGACAATAGGTACCTATTGGTAAGCTAGTGACGTGCTTTGCTGACTTGAACCAAATCTGGAACTTTTTCATGCTGTTTACATCATGGTCGTGACAATGCGATATTGAGGGTTTTTTGCAGCTGGCACTTAAAGGCGATTCAAAAGTTTCTGACGGTAGATCACGTATTGATTATGCGCCCGAGGGAGACTTATCGCTGAAACCACAAAACAAAACTTTAAGCTCGACTGATATTATTATTATTAGGTACGTACCTTTAATTTATCATCTGATAAAAATGCGTCCGATACAGATTTTGTAATATAAAAGTAACAGAGTTTTAAGTATTTAGAACTATAATGTTGTACAAATATGTTATCAGGTGACAGGTACTAGAGCTGGGTTGCCATATTTGGCTAGTGTCTCGTCGGGACGTTCTAGAAATTCTAACACTTTTTATTTTTATTTTTCTTTAGAATTTCTAATGTTCAATATTTTTAATTTATTGCAGAAGTACTGGATGTCCAAACTTTCCGAACAATATCTCACGCAGTATACCCTAAAGTAAATACAACGACTGACTGCCTAGTGCGGACTGTAGTCGACTATTCCACAATGTATCAATTATCAGTTTATCGGCTATCTCCCAACTATTACAGTTTTGTCTGAAAATATTGTCTGTACCGTCACCTAGCAATTTGAGCCTTATTATCGCAATAGAACCGCAGTATACAAATATATATCATATAGTTTATAACCTATAGGAGTATTACATAAATGTGGCTGACGTGACGAAAATAATTTTTGTTAAGTCACATAAATTTTTAATCGGGGCATTTTAGTCTTTTCTTGGGAAAAATAGCTCTATAACAGTGAAGGTCACGATATATCAAGTAACTTGAGAGATTTAAAAAAAATTTTTTAGTTAAAACTATAGTTTAATCAACCTAAGTCAATTAAGTTGTGTGGACGAAATAAATAATTTATTGTGAGTTTCAGAGCTCGTGTAAGCAATAAATGAGTACATGTAAAAAATTACAAGTCGATTAACTCAAATGTCAAAAACAATAATAAAACAAATTCAACGAAATATTATTTGGGAAGGTACTGACAATTACTAGATAAAAATTTAAATTTAAATCAACTAACTATATTAAGAAGCTAATAATTTTAAAGCATGGACATTTACAAGATTTAAAATTTAAATACAAGGCTCATACCTATGCTTAAACATACTATATATTAATATAGGTACACGAAAATCGATAAAAATATATCTATAACATAAATTAAGAGCAAATATCGTCAAACTAACAATGCAGTTTCATATATAATATTTCCTAACTTTTTGAAAGTCGTGAAATTTACTTTTCCAGCACATAAAACGTTGTTTGTGGACTTTAAAACCGGAAATTAAAAATTAACTATCATTGCACTTGGACGAGTGCTAATAAATGTCAGATGTTCGAGAATGAGTACAATACAGTATGAACATATATAAATATTAATTACGATCCAATTTTTGAATTGATTGAAATTGAATGGGTAGTTACTAGTTTACCGCATCGGTTTCATCATGTGGTCATTTACCCAGCACGATTTCGACGCTTTGTTGCTTGGATTGTTCTTCACGTTCTCGAGAAGACAAATATGGCTTGAACACCGAACTAAAATGAAAACAAATTTAATCAAGGAATGAATATATAAATAAATATTAATTTTGCATACTTTTTCATAAATTCCATAAATCTAAAGGCATATTTTTTGGGTGGTTTTGCAGAAATAGAGCTGAGATCTGATGGAATACAAACTGTCAACCATATTTTTAAGGTCTTATACATATTCTCAATTCTTTTCATTATTCCATAATCTTGTAATATATCAATAATTCCAACAAATAGTAACAATTTTTTATCACTTCCACTTATGGCAGGTATACTACCTCTTAAAAAAGGACAAGGCTTTTCATTCTCAAAAGTTGCAGTGTCTGCTTGAATATCTTGCATTCCTATCGAATTAACCATCAAACGATTAAACCTGGCTGAAGCTGCCTGACTACAAGTAGAAATATCTTCATCGAGTTTATGAATGCCTAATAAAAGACTGTAATCCATTATATTACAATTTTTTAGAAAATCACAATCACTATTGATAGTTTTGAGAAGATCTGAGAGAGTGTGTGGCATCAAAAACAAACCATCAAGATCATCCTCGTCAAAGTCTAAATCTTTAAGTGTTGGCGATGGCTTAAGTTTTTCATTTCTGGAAGCTGTTCTGTTGAAAGTTGAACCTTTCAGATCATACTTTACTTGCATTTTTATGTTTGAAGGTAGTAAATTATTCATAGATACTAATTTAATGTCTATTAATTTGCTTTTGTAACGATAAAAACCGGAAAATTTTGGCAACAGAGATTCCGAATTGAGCTTCAAATGAGTGATGTATCTATTGAGTAGCTTATTTAAACATTCATCTTCATCTTTCTGTAAAGATTTTATGATAAATTTTCTATCCTGTGTGAGGTAAAATATTGATGTACTTGCACCTGAGTTGGACACTACAATAAGGGGTGATTTACACAACGAGCCAACATATTCATTTAACTGAATGCCAAAAAAATCTCTAAAATAATGGAATGTAGATGGAGCGTATGTATAAAATTTATAACCTTCATTATCTGATAGTTGATAATTTTTTTTCAAATCTATAAGCTCTGTGTCTAAACTTTCTGTAAAACGGAACTCTGACGAACAGATAACATTCGAATCATTTTTGGTAACTGCTTCTTGTATTCCCAGTTGTATGGAATTCATAATTTGAACGGTTTGAGCATCACAGGTGATTTCTACATTTTCATCAACTGCTTTCTCTTGTCCAAATTCCTTCTCTTTTTCTTTGGCTTGGTGATCACCTTGTTCAGAACCATTGTGGATTTTTTCATTTACATCACCTAAAACAGTCATAAAATAAAACATATATACAAAAAAGTGCCTAACAACTTAAACAAATAGAAAATAAACTTAGTATATTCTGAATCAAGGGGACATGCAAAGAGTTATTAGCTAAGATTTTTATGGGACCATAGGGCGAAAATACATGCTTTGGCCCTCAGACGCATTACGCGTTGTCATAAATGTTTTATTATTCCAAAATTCGAATTGTGGGTGGCAGGGAAATGCAAATAACAGGTGCGTTACCTTGCCCCACCACTTACTCTAAATATAAAATAATTAATGTCAAATTATGTAATATCATTTGTAATCTTTGTAACCACCAAAAAAACATTTGTAACCTAACCAAAACTGCTCAAAACCAAGTAACTATGTGGTGGGGCCGTGGTGACATATTGTTAGTAAGTGTTTAACATTTTTATGTATATCATATACTTTACATACTTAGGTACTGTTAAATACAATGTTATTATTATTTCGTGCAAAGCAACCTCGTGTATAAGTACGACTTGGAATAAAATAAATTTAAAATTTACAGCAATGAGTCGGTAACATTAAATAAAGAAATAATAATTAAAATAAATTATAGATTTCATATCGAATAGTATATGACGCGACAAAAAACTTACGGTAAAGACGTTAAGTCCCATTCAATTGTTAGTTCGATGATTCTTTAATCAGTAGCATTACCTACACTAGTAGGTATCTATTCTCAATGTTTTCTTAGTTTGCATTGACAATTATATAGTTTCTATATATGATTAAAGAAAGTCCATACATGGTGAAGAAGAGCTAAGAGTATTTTTTTTTTTAATTAGAAATCAAAAACAAAACATATCGTACAATTGAATAATATTGAATGATAATTGATTACCTACCTCCTGTAAGCTTATACAGCTTGTGTTGGAGATAGGGAGTTATGATTACTGCTAGTGCTAAATCACTAGCATCAATCAGTATTAAATTGTAACATTGAACCAATCGTAGGAAAATATAAATTCAAGTTGTGTAGGTACTCTGTTTTATTTAAAAGAAAGAATTAAGTAATAGAAGTATAAGTAATAAGTAAATTAGGTATACAATTGTACATAACATAATAATTCATATATTTTACATTTTGCCATAGTAATGATAATTTTGACAATTTAAATATAATTCAAAATAATAATTGCAATAATACTCTTAATAATAATATAAAAATGTCATATTATGTAGTATACTTATGTATGTTTATTTTATATTGGTTGAAATTTAAATGAAACACTAATAATAAAATTGAATGGTGTAATTTTCTTTTTTTTTTTTAAACTTTCTATTTGTTTTGTTAAGTATTCTAATTTTAAATGTTTTTATTTTTCTGTAATCTTTTTTTGTAGTGCTATGCTATTAATTAAGACATATTTATTGATCTGGAATGATTTTAAGACGTCAATGAATTGAAAAATATGCAGATTACTAGAATTAAAATATGAATTATATTTCGAGTGAAAAGCTTCACATGCATTTGTTATTCTATGTATTTGAACATTCAGACTAAACATGAGGAGGGAATTTAGAATTTTTGGAAATATAATTATCTAAAAAGTAGTCTGTAAATTCTTCACAACAAGCAATGGTTTATTGTACAATATAGTTTATCGATTTTAGTGACACGATAATATCGATTTTAATGATTTTAGTAGATACTATCGATAATAATTATGTAGCCGACTTGCTATAGTAAAAATTCTATGACATGTTACAAAGGACTAAAATAATAGCACAACATAATAAATTGAAATCATCTATCTACCTACCTG